GCCCTAAACCATTATAGAAAACAGAGACATTGTCTCTTTTTACAGAAAGGTGATGAGAATCCATCCTACAGACAGCTTAGAAGAGAGAGGGCCTGTGAGCTGAGTGGGCTTTGGCCAATACTTATTATAAAGATTTCATCAGCTGTCATGCACGCATCGACAAATACAATGCCAGTGTCAGCCCTGTCCACAGAGCAGCAATGAGCAAACACTGCACGAGCCCATTCTCCTTCCCTTTGCAGACTGCCCTCTCCGAGTCAGCCGTCGTGCTTCCCGCCTGAAGAGCGCAGCAAGAGGAACCCCACCGCGGGCCTGCCTTGGACGCACTCGGCCCCCAGCTCAGGTAGACTCCAAAGCACGTTTCCTCCCTGCATGTGGGCAGCACCCAGAATACCAAAACGATTGTCCCCTCTCCAAGGTCTCTTGCTGGCTTCACAAGCATCAAAGATCTTATTATCTGAACATGCAGAAGAGCTTATTTAGATTGAGAAGGACACACACAGTCACCACAGGACCTCAGGGATAAATATATTACATAACCGTGGGCATTAAAGGTTGTATTTTAATATGGTGAGTGATCAAAAGACGTTAATGAGTTACCAAGATGTGGTTTGCCTTGCAGGGCTAATGTGTTTTATTGGGCCATCTGGGCTTTACTGCAATACAAACAGCATTACTGATTATTAACAACGTTATAATCATTAACAAAATACCACAGTGCTTGGATTTCAGGTGTCATCTCCCTTCCTGTCATATAGCCGAGTCTCTCTGAAGGTTAGCCTCGGACTTAGAAGTCCTGCCTGGCCCACCATCCATCCACTGGGAGACCAAGGCAGCTTTCTGTGCTCAGCATCCAGCCCTCGGCAGTGGCCAGGTCACAGCTGCATCTCAGTCTCAAACACCCTTTTTTTCTGCTCGGAAGCGCTCTCAGGGCACCACCTGAAAACAACAGCTGACAGCCCTGCTGCCGAGGCCAAGCGCCACCTGCCACTGGCCACGGGACAAAGAACAAGCAGCACCTCTGTTCCCAGGCAGACACGGCCACGAGAACATACCGTCCTTCAGAGCCTGCCTCGTTTGCCTGCAAGAGCTAGGTGCATTTAACCAGAGGATGGCAAGTGGGGGGTGTTCATCAAGTCCACAAAAGGCCAAGCGCCAAAAAAAAAAAAAAAAAAAAAACCACCCCCCACACAACCCACCACACCCCACACACAAAACCACGCATTTCTACAGTTTCTACAGTTTGTATACAGATGCTCATTAGATAGCATGTTTGATGGTGTACATTAAAATAAAAGTCTTCTGCACTAGCTGCTGCCTCTCTAATTGTCTTTCTTCTGTCAGGGCATTAGACTTCATTATGAATATCAACAGCTTTTCTGTTTGTGGCCTCTTGATTAGGAGCTGTCTTAGGGCGTTCTCAGAACCGTTCTCAACCCCGGATGTCTCCTGCTGGAGCAGCCACCTCCATCCTTGTTCAGCCCACCGCATTTGAGGCACTAAACTGGGTCATCTGAGCTCGGAGCCTGTCTGCCCTAAGCTCCTTTAACGCAGCCAATGCAGACAGATTGGTATCCCCACAGCATGGCCCAGGTTTCAGCTGAATCCCCCTTGGAAGGCACACACACACGTGTGTGCGTGTGCTTGTGTGTGTCTCCTTCTCGCCCCCTGAGACCACCGAGGTGGTTCACAGTGACTAACCTCCTAATTCAGGCACTGCAGGAAAGCGCAGCAGTGCCTACCACCTAAAACTCCCTGTCATCCACCTCCAACACACCAGCAACTTTCCCCTGCCCTCAGAAAAATCAACCACAAGTTAGATGTCGAGGGGGACAACTCCAGCAAGCATCTGAGGTGGGAGCAGAGAAGGCAGCAGACAGACAACTTGTACAAGGTGTTCTGCACAAAGGTGGGAGGAGAAGCCTTTTGGTTTGTACACGCCAATAATCTACAGTGTTGAATCCTAATACGCACAAGGAGGAGGAAAGATCTAAGAACTGGTCCAAAATCCCCCAAATCTCAACTAATGCAGAGTTTATTCTGTGCACATTACTTTGCAAAGATGCTAAGCACACAGTTACAACCAGTAGTTAGACTGGCCGTACTGAGATTGTGCATTCAACCCAAAGCACAGCTCTCCAGAGCATCAGGAGGAAAACAGAGGGAAGAAAAGTGATATATATATAAAAAAGGTGTTCACACTCCATGTTTGACGTTCTGCACACGCAGTCTTCTTAAAAGTCTTGGGGAAACTGCATGCAATTCTTACCACAGTACACTGAAAATCAGTTTGATTTGCGATGCACAAGAAAAAACATGGGCGGGGGGGGAAAACTTTGTCTAGCTGGTGCATCACTTTGCAATGTGGTACCAGCTACAGGGAGAGAGCCAGGAGCCTCAGCTGAAAGAGCCTGGCACGGCTCCACGGCTGTCAGCTGAAGCCAAGCCAATGTAAAGACAGCTGCAAACTAGGTCCAAAATATGAAGCCACTTTAAATTATTGAAGGTATGCTTGCTTCTGGCTCCTGTGACTGCTTTTGAGGCTCTCTATCCATTTAAAGCATCACCAGTCTCCCTTCGAACAGGAGTACTTCTCTTTTCCATTGGACTTTGACTCAACACAAATTTAATTAACAGATCTAATGGACTAGACCTGTGGATTTAAGGAGAAGAAAAGAAAAAAAAAGCCTACAAAACAGACAACAAAAAAACCACCACTGCAAAAAAAAAAAAAAAAAAAAGGAAGAACTACAGGAAATCCCAACAACATGGCTTAACCTCCTGCCTTCAAGAGATGCAAAATAATAAAAGGTCTGGGCTTGGCTCCTCACATTACGAGGCATAGGTCCTCCACTCTGGCAACTATTCCACTTTATCACCTTTTAGTGGAAGATCCCAAAGCACTTTAAGGGCTTTTAAGCTGCGCAACACCCCACCAAGCCATGAGAAAGCTATGCAGGGAGTACGATCCTCCCTGTCCCAGAGCTTCAGCCAACCTGTCAGCAGGTCTGGCTTGTATTTAGTTTATTTAAAGCACACACATGCGCAGAACACAAAACTGGTGCTACGTTTCATCCCGGGGGTACAACTGCATTAATGGGCAGAGTTTTAACCATTTATGCTAGCACAGAACGTGTCTCAAAATCTTTATCACCATTGAGTCCCCTTATTCCCATGTCACTGCAGATGTCCATGCAGGGCTCCTTGGTCAGCCTCATCCAGACCGAAGGTTGTCTCTGCAGCTCACAGCATCGCTCACCACCTGTCTCAGATACCAGATCCGACCACGGCAAAAGCAGCTCCCCCAGTGGCATCTGCAGCAACGCGGTGCCCGAGCTGCGTTCCACCCTCCAGGCTGAGAGGGAGCGCAAGAGCCTAGCCCCACGCTCCCCCGAACGTACCCACACCAGCACGCGCCGCGGCTGCTGTGGACGTGTTTGGCCTGGGATTATTTACTGCAACTTTCAAAGCAAAAAAACAAATTACTTAAAAAGCGAAGCAACCACTTCCAGGCATGTCACTGAAATCCAACTGCATCACAAATTATTATGAATCAGTTAATTTTCAAGTGACTTCTTTTTAAAAAAAAATCCATTTGCACTAAAAATATCAGACATCCACATATTAATGCCAACTTCATCAGCTGCAGTGAGAAGCAGCATATTCCACGCATCCTTCCCGAGCCCCCAGACCTGATGTTTTATATTTGCCTTTTGTTCTTCCATGAGAAAAAGGGGAAAACAAAAGAGTATTTCACTTCTGTCACAAGATCACCTGACAGAAGATGCTAGGAACAAATTCATCACTGCACAGGGCTGGTACATTCAGGATAACGTGCATGCAAAGCACTGATTAATTATAGACTTTTTGCCGAGGAAATTTCTGGGCATGAAGGGTAAGATTTAAATTGCTGATCAGCATCGCTTTTGCTGTGACATGTTTGGAAACAATCTAGCAGGTTGGAATCAGGCTCCTTGTACAGGCTGCAACATCTGTTTCTCCCATGTAAGAAACAGAATTACTTCAAAATATTTTATTTCAGATGCAGATTCCTTCTCTTTTTAAGACAGTGAGTAACAGGGGTGGGACATCAGGGAGGAGGGGGGGGGGGGTTTAGTTTGTGCAGCGCATAAACCCAGAGGGGCAAAGCAGCGCGGGCCCAGGGTAGGCCCAGCCGTCGCTGCGCTCTGCTAACTCTGCTCCAGCCAAGCAGCTGGCTGAATTGCCAGCTCCTACATTCAGAAATGTTTTCATGCCTAGAGAACAAAAATAACAGATTCAGAAGTTGTTAAAAATAATAATAATTCCTACTCGAGGCCAATTGAGGCCATTCAACAATCTCTTTTCTTCGGGCT